AAGATATTAATGGTGTTCTTCGTCGGCGGTGGACTGATTCACGATGGTCGTCGACGCTGGGCGTTGGACGATTTGAAAGACCAAGGGGAGTGAGTGCTCAGCTTTGGCCGATTCAAAATGAGAGGGGGGAGTGAGTGCTCAGCTAGTGAGTGTTTGAATGATATATTGGGTTTGCATTTTTTGTGGTTTACGTCCGCGGTGGTTGTCGACGGCTGGGCGGTGTCCGATTCGAATGAGAGAGGGGAGTGAGAGGGTTACTGAGTGTTTGAATGGTAGATGATTAGGTTTGATTTTCTTGTTTTTGTTGATTGTTTTTCACCATTGTTTTTAATTATTTTTAAATTCCAAAATTGACTTATTTCATCCCTGACATGAACACAGTTTTTGTACCTTTTTCCATCTAGTCACGTCTCATTTAGTTCAGGATATATAAGGTATTAAAATTATTTAGGGGGACAAAAATGTCCAAAAGTGACAATCTTGTAAAGACTTTAAAAAAAGTGACATTTTTGTAAATTTGAAGTCAAAAAATGACATACAGTGTAATTTCCTCAAAAAATAATATTAGGCGATGGCATTTTCACTACAATTTATTCATGGTCTCTTTTTCTAGACTAATAAAATGACTTGGATACCCTTGTTGATTTAAAGCACAATGAAGGAATCAGAAAATTCCGAATAGTTGCATCCGAACTCGAAGCACAAAAAGGAAGCAAAAATAATCCACCAAAAAGAATTACATAATCCTCAAAATATCAACTTCTTTTGAGTTGAGGGTGAATACAAAACAGACAATACTTATTTCAGACCACTACCATTAATTGAGAGTGAACAATTGTGCCGGCCAACTACGTTTTCGACCATCAGATCCTATCCCCGTGAGCTCCATTGAAATGTCAATGCAGCGATGCTGAACAGCTCGGACGATACTGATACGAGATTGCACGCTCACAGCAGGGCAAGCATTGGTACCAACTGCGGCTGGTTTTTCACTAGTAACCTTAGACGATGCCATTGCAATTGGTTCTCGAAATGTGAGGATGGTTTGGGACCAGTGAGTTTTGGGATTGTAAGGAGATGTGGATAAATTGGTTGGCATTTCACTACAAAACCTTTCAGTAAATCCAGTCTCAAACCACAAGACTAATCCATGACACCAAGTGATTTCCGGTTTTGACCCTGTGGAGTTGTTCGTGGGAGTGACCGACTTTGGTTCCAGTTCGACTTTTGCTGTAAAGTCCATCTGGTCAGATCGCATCGTCAACAGGTCGAAGGTCTGAAGAAAGAGAGAAATTAGTTAGACTTGGAACTTTGATTGAGCAGGCAGTTGATCAACCGTCGTATAAATTTGCAATAGAACAATCTAAAAACCTTGGATAAAAAAACAAAGTTTGCATCATAGTAAAAGTTTATGTAGTAAACATGAGGTAAGCCTCCTGTCCCAGAATTCATAAAACCCCATTGATCTTTTCTACATCCCAAAATCACCATCTCAAATAGGAAACATGCTGGAGCATTATGACTAATGAAACTTCGCCGCTGTCATGCGAAAAAGTTACAGGCTTATTCATCAAAATGATTGAAGTAAATCAAAATACATACCTGAAGAACTTGGGTAGGAGTGACGATATCACAACTGTCAATGACGTCAACAATAGGATTCCGAGCAGCACCCTCAACTTCTTCCAAGCCAATACACGACATGTTGAAACTATAGACATTTTCCCAGAATGGGATACTGGTACCTCCTTTTCCAAATCCTGCGACAAACTGTAAATTGAAAGGTAGGTAAAATCATTATCTCTGTTGACAAAAAAAGATGTCAAGTACAACAGCTGAAAAGGAAAAACTCAATTCACCATAGTAGCTGTGTCTGGGAGAATTGCACCTCCAGGCTTCAACCACCGATCACGAGCAAGTAACACAGAACTGAGCATTGACTCGTAGAGAAGGCAGTAGCCCATCCATTCACTCAGTAACACATCAACACTGTGAGGTTGGATGTGCGTTGCATTGTCAAGATCCTCAACCATGCCTTGAACCACTTCAATTACTCCATCGTGTTGCCCACTACTTCTGGGAAATCCACTCTGCAGAAAGCCGTTATCTTTTGCAATCTGCACAAATCCAAAAAGTGATTTAAAAAAGTAACCCCCTTAAAAGAACCAGATAAAGCAGACAACTCAACTGAGTAAAAAAGAAAGTACACAGATTAAAATCAGTGAACCTGGGTTGCCACTGCAGCCATCTTCTCACTGGCTTCAACTGCAATAACTCTTGATGCTCCTCCTTGTGCTGCAAAAAGACTAGTAAAACAAAAGCTCATAATACAACCTACAAACAGCATTAAGATTACTAAAATTAAAACCAGCTATGAATTTCAATAAATCGTAGATGGCTTTTTATTCATGATAACTCATGTGGTTAACTCATATGCATATGTTTAGCAAACTAATTAAAGGTATGAAGCGGAGAAGCCTTTTCATAATAGAAGATGTTGAAAACAATCTTCGTCATTAATGGAATGAAAAAAGTAGGACAAAAGTTGCTTGAGCATGGCAGCGTTGCCAACAATTCAGTTTGACAGTATCCTTTATTCTTCATTTAAGCCAGTCTCAGTTCAAGTGGAACCAGACAGAGACAGACCATCAGTACTAAGGGAACTTTGTTTCATCTGCAGATAACTTGGCTCATCTTACCCAATAAATAATTAAATCTCACCCAATAAATAATTAAATTCAGAAGGATTCTCAATCGTAATTGATTACTTCATATGAAACACCAAAATAAAATCAAAATTTATTCCATACCTTAGGATGCCAGTCCCACAACCTACATCCATAACAACTGCACCTCTTAGCAAAGAAGGATTCTCCAAAACAGCTTGCCGGTAAGCATCAGTTCTCACCTGCATAACCAAAATAGTTTGCCTGAAAGTCTATTTAATAAATTACAAATTATTACAATAAGCAACTGAACATACTCTTTATTATATAAAAACATATCCATGGTTCCCTTCAATTTCTTGGAGATAAATTATGGTTCACCTCCAATTAAAATACCAAGTTCAATACCTTGTCACTGATCATTTCTTTGTGGATTCCAAAAGAACTGTACGAGCCGAAATAATTCTTATTTATGTCTCTGATTTGATTTGCTACAATATTTGCAGAAGAAACATTAAACTGCTCATCTTTGTCATTTCTGAAGAAAGAAACAGCATCTTCCACACCAGCCTTTATACCTCTGTCAGAAGCAGATGCAACCTCCTTCCCCCCATTTTCACAAGGATTCGTAAGTCGACATGGATATCTATCTGAACAACTCTCATCGTCAGTACTGATCTGTTCAAACTGATTCAAATTTACCAGTTCTTTTGGGTCAGTTGATATGTCATCTCCATCTGCATCTTCTACATCTTCAGCAAAACTATACAGGAGTGCATCATCTTGCAAAATAGGTTTGAGATACTTATCATCATCTGATTGAAGCATGCTACTCTCAAAATTGACCAACTCATGTAAGTGGTTCTGTAGATCTCTCTTGGACTGACAGGTCATCCCACAACTCCAACATCTATTCTCTGCCACCTAATAAATATAAAAGAAAGCAAGAAACATTAATAAGCCAATAACTTCTACTGCAGTATATTCTAATCAGATCAGAAAAATGCCATCGTAATAAAATGAAGCGCTAATTAAAATTCAAAACCAATGCGAAAATAAATATAATCAAAGATAATTTCCTATCAATGCTTGATTTTATTCTTGTTTCCTGGAACCCTGAACTTATATTGCCTATAGGCCTGTTTGTTGGCCTTCTGTCATTTTTTCCACCGGAAAATGTTGGGTTCTATAAGCATATACAAAATGCTCGTTTGTGTGCATGTGTGCACGAATGAGTCTTGTGCTAAATCAACTATCAGCTTAGATATAGAACCCAGCTCTCAATCACTAGAACAAGGCTCTGCCCACTATCATTGTAACATGTCATACAAGAATAAAAAACTGTCTGGGAAAGAACTCCCCCTAAATACAAGGTCGTACCAGGAGGTACAAGCTTTGAGGACAATATATTGCAGACAAATAAATGACTCAGCTCGAGCAGCACCATTAACAGAAGCCGAGCAATATATGACTTTCGGGAATGCAACTGAGATTCAACTCTTCCATTTTATTTTTTTTTTCCTTCTTCTTGTTTTCGATTTTCTATAGTATACCAGGATACAAAATTTGAAACATCATCCACTGTTAAACACAAAAGATATCGCATAACTTGAAATATACAAGAGAAACAAAAACTCCACTTTCAGCAGTAGTTTTCATGAGAACCAGAGCAAGGTACACCTGAAAACCCCCAAGGTTACCCAACTAACACCAAACGTTGCTTCTCGCAAGACTACGAAATAATCAATAAAGCCACAAGCCTCAAAGCAATACTCACTCAAATCAATATCAACTGCAGATCTCACAACAAAAAGTAACGAATTTATAACAAAATTAAGAAGAATTCAAATAGTAAAGGATTGCATACACATACCTGAGACCTAACGTAGTTAATGAGCTTTATGCATTTATAGAAATCCAAATTATGGGTTTTCTTAATCGCGTTGAAATCAAAGTGGTGAGCTGAAGCGCAATGCTCAAAGAGAGGACTGCACGAACTGAACACGGAGTCACAGAACAGACAGAAAAACAGTTCCTTTGAGCCTTCTAGCTCTTCTTCTTCTTCACCGTCTGTTTTCCAGTCGTCCCAATTCTGGTCTTCTTCTTCGCCGTCATCGTCCTCAGTGTCGTGTAGCTTCTTTTCGTCCAAATTTTCTTCTTCTTCGTGGTGAGTAGCCATGGATAAACAACAAACAGAGTGGCGAGGAGAGGTGCGGTGGCTTTCCCGTGCTTAAACCCTAAACCTCAATATAATTTTATTACTATTAAACCTCCCCACTATTTTCAAACATTTCAGAAAGCTCCTTAGGTTTATTTTGTGACAATAGAATCCCTTTCAGAAGAAATGTGAATATATATATATTTCTATTTTATTTTTCTATACTATTTTGAAATTATTATTTTACTATATTAAAATAATATTTTTGGGCTTCTTAAAATTATATTTTTGTTCTTCTTATTACCAATCAAGATATATTTTTTCATACCTTTGGTTTAGATGAGATAATTTTAGTCAAAAATACCATTATAAATATTGTTATAAAATTTCAAAATTATAAAATGCGATTTTCATTTTTTTTTTTTGCAAATATGGTTGTAAATAATTGGCCAGGTATGAAAATCATTATTTCAAAACTCTTTTATTTTCATATTTATTTTCAACCACATTTATACAATAAAATATTTTACACGTAAATCCAAAATTTTTCCCCTTCTTTAACCAACTATTTTCCAAACAATCACTATTTAAAACTCCATTTTCTCAAAATCAAATGAATACAGATAAACATTTTAGAATAGTTTAATAAAGTTAATTGAAAATACATTTAATATTCTTTAATTTTTTTAGTTTTTTATACTCTTGAAATTTATTCTGTATTAATATCAAAAGTTTAAAGTAATATTATCATAACATTAAGTGCGTGTCTGGTTGCACTTAAAATTGCAATCTCAATCGTTGCCAAGTAAAATTTGGACCGTTGCTTTTCACCATTTTTCAATGAAGACTGACATGACAGTCGCAATATTGGACCATTTTATGACAGAATTACGTTTTTGCCCTTAATATTTAATTCAATGCACTTAAAATTGCAATCTCAATCATTGCCAAGTAAAATTTGGACCGTTGCTTTTCACCATTTTTCAATGAAGACTGACATGACAGTCGCAATATTGGACAATTTTATGACAGATCTACGTTTTTGCCCTTAATATTTAATTCATTTTGCATGACATGGGCTTTTTCGGTAGTTCATTTTTACAATGTCAGGTTTTACTGCCAAAGTGAGCTCCATTCTGCAGTAAAAAATGGTCAATTAATTTCTGAAAATTGGAAGAAATCGATCACAGACATGCTATAAATATGTGTAAAATTGAAATAAAATATTTGTAGTGTAAATTTCCATTTAGTTCTTTTTTTTTTTTCTTGTTGAAATCCATTTTAGTTCATTTTTTAACAAGAAGTTCACAAAAATATGATTAAGATAAAATCAATTTGTACAAAAAGATAAACAATTAAAAAATTTAAATTAATTGAAATTAATAGAAAAGTAATTAAAGGAACAAATATTAATAATCTTTACAGCTAATAGAAGGGTAAAACGGGGATTTTATGCTAAGAAGGGATTGTGAAATTTTCTATCTAAAAAATTGATTTTAGTTAGTTAAATACGTAATCTGAAAATTATATTTGACAAAATAATTATCTTCAATTTACATGTATTTTTAGTTGATATATTTTGTTATATAGAGGAGAAAACTAAAATGAACTTATGTTGATTTAGTCAATTTCACATGATAACGTTGATGTGATAGTACACCGTAATAAATTTTAATCTATCATTCACATCAAAACTTATAAAGTCAAAATCAAGGTGAAGACTTGATTCAATACAACAAATTTCTACTGAGAGTTATTATGTTTTGCCAGATGATTTTTGACATCCTCGTTGACAGATGTGTATGTGAATGAAAATTATGACTATATTTTAAAAAGTCTAATAATATAATATCACATGACATTAAATGAACCTGTCTGTCAAGGAGGTGGGCAATGTAACATGACTGTAGTACTAATTCACTTTGTTCAACATGTATGCATACTGATCAACACATTTTGGACACCAAATTTCAATAAAATAAATACAAATTAAATGCCATAACATTATACTCATAATTATAAATTTAGAGTTTGTTTGAACCTATTTATTGGGAGAATAATCTTGTAATATTGAATTTTTGAATACTATGATTAAAAAATAAGAAAAAAACTTAATTTATGTGAAAAATTATTTTACTGGGACAATATGTAATTGAAAATGAGTTTTTAAAAAATAAAAATAAAATGAGGCTCGAATAGAGGTTTAATAAGTTATGATCTACAAATCCCATTTTTTAAAAACTCACTTTCCCCCAAACTCATTTTCGATCGTATATTTTCTCAATAAAATAATTTTAAACGTACATTCAAAAAAATGTATACTTTTTAATCATATGTTCTTCCAAAAAAAAAAAATTGAAAAATTACTAGTACAAAATCCATTCTCCATGAAACTTTTGAACAAAGCCTAATATGTAAACTTTATATAAATTATTAATATATGGAAGCTAATAGTTGTTTGGTTAGTAATATAAATTCTCGAGTTCACTCGTTCTCCTCTTGACAGCCAATGAGGGAAAAGGGCTTATCTGCTACTGTCAACTTTGAACAAATGCTTGAATCAGTTTCATCAATATTAACAGATACAAAGTAACAACCAACAAGACAAACCATAAATCTTGTAAATAAATTATGTTGGCAATGTTTTTGCAAATGCAAGGGGGGCATCTCTATTGAAAAGTCAACAAAAGAACTTTGGTTGGAGCTACACGCAGACACCATTGGGGAGGGCAAAGTCGGAATTGTTGATCAATTGGACATTGAAATGATTACAATTTACTTTTTTATATTCTTTGATTTGACAGATTGAATACATTTTTGGGAGAAAATGGGTACCAAACAGAGCCTCAATACAACAAATTTCTACTGAGAGTTATTCTGCTTTGCGAGATGATTTTTGACACTCTCGTTGACAGATGTGTATGTAAATGAAAATTATGACTATATTTAAAAAAGTCTAATAATATAATATCACATGACATTATATGAACATGTCTGTCAAGGAGGTGGGCAATGTAACATGACTCTAGCACTAATTCACTTTGTTCAACATGTATGCATACTGAACAACACATTTTGGACAGCAAATTTCAATAAAATGAATACAAATTAAATGCCATAACATTATACTCATATAATTATAAATTTGCAGTTTGTTTGAGCCTATTTATTGGGAGAATAATCTTGTAATATTGAATTTTTGAAGACTGCGATTAAAAAATAAGAAATACACTTAATTTATGTGGAGAATTATTTTTTTGGGACAATATGTAATTGAAAATGAGTTTTAAAAAAATAAAAATAAAAATAAAATGAGGCTCAAATAGAGGTTTAATAAGTTATGATCTACAAATCCCATTTTTTAAAAACTCACTTTCCCCCAAACTCATTTTCGATCGCATATTTTCTCAATAAAATAATTTTACACGTGCATTCAAAAAAATGTATACTTTTTAATCATATGTTCTTCAAAAAAAAAAATTGAAAAAATTACTAGTACAAAATCCATTCTCCATGAAACTTTTGAACAAAGCCTAATATGTAAACTTTATATAAATTATCAATATATGGACGCTAATAGTTGTTTGGTTAGTAATATAAATTCTCGAGTTCACTCGTTCTCCTCTTGACAGCCAATGAGGGAAAAGGGCTTACCTGCTACTGTCAACTTTGAACAAATGCTTGAATCAGTTTCATCAATATTAACAGATACAAAGTAACTACCAACACGACAAACCATAAATCTTGTAAATAATATGCATTCAACAAGAAGATAGCATCCACGTTGCTCAGTGACATTTTTTGCCAGAAAATTACAAAATGAAAGTGCAGCAAAATATTGTTCGGCGTGACATTTTACATCTCTCCACACTCAGCAATAACGCAAGCCAATTTAGGCCGGTTGTTGGGTCCTGTAGCCACGTTCTCAATCTTCCGCACAACTAAAAGACCATCTCCAAGTACACGCTGCATGGAAGTCGATATTTCAGAAAAGAGCAAATTTCATTATCAATATGAAAATAAACATTTTACACTAGCAAGAGGAAGTGAATAAGTAGAGCAACAACACAAGATAATAGTAATCACGAAATAAAATAATCGATAAGTCACAAGAAGAAACCAGCAGAGGCCTCTGAAACCTTAGATGGCAATAGAATATAATCATATTCACTGAAATTCTACTTTGCACACTAGAAAAAAGCTAAGTTTGAGTCTTCCAGTGAGAGTGCGGTATCAAAGTTCATAACATCGATTAGTGGAACAACAATGAATCAACCGCAGATTGAGTTGAAGACATATTAAGCAATTTATTATTCAAGTAAAAGGCTTGGTCGACAGTTTTAATAGATTAAACCCATGAAGCACTTGATACATACCCCGAAAACAACATGCTTATTGTCAAGCCAGTCGCACTTCGCACAGGTGATGAAGAACTGCAATGGGCAAATATGAAAAATTTGAAGAAATATGATAAAGTAATCTCTGGAGACACTGTGACACATTCAGTCATATAATAACACAATTTGTTACATCTTATAGTCATATAATAACACAATTTGTTACATAATTCAAGTTAATGATATAAACGATTTGGCAGTGACATGAAAAATCTCCACAGAATGTGTGTGGAGCTAAATGGCAAATTTATTCATTTTATTTCCTTTACCCACGACAATATCTACATATGTGATATATCCACTATCACGGGGCAAGGAAATGGTATTTTTACAATTTTGCAGAGAAACCAACACACTTCAATTCAATAATGTATCGTAAACAAGAAATGGACTTAATATGTTACCTGACATCCATTAGAATTTGTCCCACTATTTGCCTGCCAAAACAATTAGAAACCCTTTTAGAATAAAAAATAAAATCTCTATGATATTAAAGATGCTATGTCAAACACAATCAGATGACGATGATCTGGTAATTGTCAAAAATAGAAGAACTAGCATCTAGCTAATTACAAAGATAACAAACCAAAAGATCTCCTTTTTTGAAGTCATAATATAGACTTTTAGAAATTGTGGGAGATACTATGTCAGATCCTTAGGGGCCTTTTTTTTTTTTAAAGCAAATCGTCACCTCATCCTCAGCGTGTTCCTAGGCTCCACTAGAGGAGGATGATGGGGGTTAGGATTCCCCAACCATAATATATATGGAACTCGCATGAATAGATGGAAGTGGGGCAAAAGCCTGACCTCCAAAAAAGCAGCAAATACCTCCTATATACAAAGGTAAAAGAAGTAAAAGTAAACTCTAGTCCTCTAAAACTAAAGATACCATATCTGTAAATCTCTATTAGTGCGCGTTATTGTCAAGACAAAAACTGGGAGGGCATACAACACTACAACAGAATTATGGATAAAATGACATACCATTGATAATAGGCCAGGACCAGTGTGCTTTGCAGTAAAATTTTCATCATCAAACTTACTTCCATAAATGGAGACACATCCACTACCATCACCCTGCATAACAAGGCTAACCATCAGATGAAAAGGTTGACTAAATAATGAAGTTGATGGCAGAGCAAAAATTGCAGTAAGTAAATATTTTATAATGTCTAACACTAGCTAAGAATCACGATTCGAATACGTAATTCGAAAACAATATGATATGGGTACGATGATATAGTATTTTAACAAAATTTACCATATGCGAATAGGTATGTGTATAAATGTGTGCGGGTGTGTAGTATTTTTCATAATTCAACATAATTTCATTATTATAACAAAACGGTAAAATAAAAGTTTGCCAATAAAAATAAAATAAAATACTAAAATATTTTATCTTCTTCAACGTCACCACCATCTTCTTCACTATCATTAAAAATAACACTCTCTAACTCTAGCTCATCTAATAATTAGATTAGTAACTTCAAGCAGTCCAAAACCTTCAAGGGTATCAAACGAGACTTAACAACGTCCCACAGTTTGGATTCTCCTTTTAAATAAAGATTTAATTTTTTGATAAAATATGCAGATTGCTATGAATGAAAACCAATTCTTCAACTCATTGTAAAGTTAATTTATTCCTTATCATAAAGTGTACAAAAGAATATGTCATTTGTTAATTAATAAATATCATCAACTGATAATAACGACAATTATTTATTAGGTAAAATAAAACTCTTTGACCTTGTTTGATCCTCATTTCTTTCAAAATATATTTTTCTCTTTTTTTTTAAACCACGTTCTTCAATAAAATAATATTACTCACTACCCAAAACCTTTTCCTTCATTTTTAATTACACATTCTCCATCAATCCACTATTCCAAAATGCATTCTACACAAAAATTAGGCCCAAACAAGCCCTTTATCTTCATGAGTACTAAAGTGTTCGATTACTTCGATACTTACCGAAAATCTAGAAAATATAAAATAATTAAAAAAATACATATTCGATCGAGTATCCAAGCTAATACATATCGAATACGGGTATGCAATAAGTTGACAAGTATTCGTGCTTCTTAGAACACTAGAGGTGATTGTACTCAATAGCTTAAACACACGATATTAGGGGTATAATAGTTTCATCTAATTGGAACATAAAATGACTGGAGAGAGCTTCTAACCCTTTTAGAGTCATATTGAAACAAATAGGACTTGTACATAGGATCTCCTTTATGATGTATCAGTTTTCTTTACAAACACAGACGCATAGACAGACGGAAAGAGAGACCTTCAAAAAATCACCAGCTTGTATCATAAAATCTTTAATCACTCTGTGGAAATGGCATCCCTTGTAACCAACAGATAATCCTCCTTTCCTGTTAATTCAGACTAAAAGTTGTTAATAAGAAAAAGCAAATAAAAACATCTACAAAATAAGAAACGTGAATAGATTAAACTTAAAAGCTTTCACAAAATATTAGCGATGTTAAAATATAAATAATCTTATAGAATAGTAAAAGAGACTACTGTAGCAGCAACAATAAAAAATTACAATAAGACACCAAATAACATTGTAATAGCATCAATTGTTCAAGACAAAGGGCAGCAATATAATAAAGAATCAGTCACCACATCCATACTTAGAACCTACTCCCAAACATCTCATCCAGGAAGTTGTTGCAAGAAAATCTTTTTCAATTGAAGCATCAACCTTCACAAATTTTAGAATACTGAAATAGCATCTCATCGCAAATTCAAAGACCGTGCCAAAATTTCGTCCAAACATAAAAGACAGTATCAAACACTGTCACTTCTTCAAATTCGTTAAGGTCTAATAAGGCAAACATCCAGGGAGCTTTTATAACATTTGCCAAATAATTGGAAAATTTACACAGATTCACTTCCCAGTGAGGAAACATGAGATTTAGCCTATATTTGGCTCGTGTTTATACAAACAACTTTTTATCCACATATTTCGAGGAACCCTGTGAGACCAACTTATACACAACCTATTTCCATCTATGTATAATTTAAACCGTTTATAAACACTTTCAAAACATGCTTTTAACAAAATGTTTCTGAGCTAAAAAATTAGTATCCAATGGATTGGAAATAATTAAAAGAGAAGTAATAATATGATGAATAGCTGTATACAAAAACATCGGTTACAGAAGAGGACCTAAATTAATGTCTAAAATAGCCGAAGAGGATATACTATTTGGCTTTTTGTAATTTGACAGAAAGCTTAACACAGTTGTGTCAAAATAGGATATATGACTCTAATCTCAAATAGTGGAACAAAACATCCGAGTAGATGAATTATGGCTGCTAATTTTCCATAACAATTTAAACTTAACAATTATAATAAAGTACTACACTAGTAATACAACAAATATTATTTGAAAGATAAGCTACAAGCCTCTGCTTTAAAAATGATGTCTAGTGACCTGGAGCCTGGAGGTGACATGTGTGAGACACATGGATTAATGGACAAATTTGATACTCTTTCATGTCTGCTCTTCTTTTCTCCAAGCTGTTCCACGTCTTATTTCAGTAGCTAAGTGCGCATTACTTTAAATTGGCATATTAAGCTTCTTTTCTAAATCCAAATTTTTGAAAGAGAAACATATCTTCTTTACATGAGGATTATTTAACTTGATCCGAAATAATTCATGCTATTGATAGACAATTCGGTTTTAAGAACTGAAATATATAAGTACAAATTTATTTAATGACATAAATGAAAATCAGACGTCCAAATTGAGATGATGCATACCTATATTCGCCTGTGCAGAACTGCCTGCCAAAAAATTTAAAAGAGGAAAAGAAACAAAAATATCAGCTAGTCATATCATACACCCCTCGCAGGGAAAAGACAAATATAATATAGTAAACAAATATTTTGAAAACTTCAAGCAAACGATCATCTACAAGTAAAAGGATCACAATATAAAACATGAAAACTTTCCAGGAAAGTAAATGAAACCAAGAATATAGGATCTCTTTGGGGAATTTACTGAACGATCGTTTGTCAAAGTCCTAAACTGGAAATAACGCCTCCTTGCACACAAACGCACACACCCCTTCCCGCTCCTCCTTCCCAATTGCTTTGCTTTACAATTGTTCGTATTTAGTGAGAATGAGTCTTAGAATACACACACGCGTATGAATGTGTGGGTATATATATTCGACTATGTTGATTGTGTAAGATGATGGCTATCTAATTTTCCTCTTGTTTTTTGGCATGGCTGTTGCCGATACAGAAAATTTTTCACACTTCTTCAATACCTGAAATTGGAGTTGTTCTCAAAAATCTGAAACCATCAAGCTACAGTGTTGGATTTTGCATGCTTAGTTTTAAATTCAGAAGCTATAAATCCATCATTTGGTAAAATTTTGAATCCGAAACCTACAGCGGGAACTTCAGTGGCCACTAACGTCTTGCCAAGAGCTCTTATCCCATCCCCCGGCCCCCTTATGATACCCTGATCCGCAACTGAAAACACTTATTCGAGATAGTTGAGATGGGGGTATTACCTGAAATTTTCGGCGGTTTTAGGAGCAATATCGGCGAAGAGCTCGATTTTGATTCGGCCAGCGGGGATGTTGCCGATAGTGACATCGAAGAATACAATAGGGTTCTTGGGGTTGGGTGGCCTCTGGTGCCAATCCACCACCGCGCCACCATTGGCTCCGCCACCCGACGCCATGTGTAACTTGGGAACTACTGCTGCTACTATGAAATCACAGAGAGAATTTCGAAAAAGTAGTAGCTTCGGTCTTAGTGATATTTTAGAGTTAAATGTTTGAATGGCCATTGAACTTTACACTTCGTCACGGCTTACTCACCAAAAATGAGGCTCAAACAAGTCCTTAATAATATTTTTCTCTCTTATTTTCATTCACATATTTTTCAATAAAATAATATGTATAAACCAATTTTTTTTTTATTTTTTAACCACATATTTTTCCAAAAATTAATATTTCAAAATATATTATTTTGAAAATCTCATTAAAATGAGAGCCAAACAAGGGCAAAATATATGGTGAAAAAAAAAAAATTGAGTCCATAAAATATAAGACTTAAGATTTTAATTTCTACCGAAAGGTCCGAAAATTTGTTTAAACGTGCTGCATTACTGAGTTAAATGTTTGAATGCCATTGAACTTTGTACTTCGTCACGGCTTACTCACCAAACTTTAAGAGTTGTCCCAATGGCCATTGAACTTAGGTCCGTTGCTTCCCGTTACTCATTGAATGAATTCCGTCTTTTAACTCTGTCTAGGTGGCAGACAGAATGCCCACGTGTACCGTGAAATGTGTTCCCACGGGAGTTAAATGCACAAATTTATCGCCAAATCAGCAAAAACTTGCGTTCCCATTTCCAAACACCACAATCCCAATCCCCAATTCTAACCCCAAATCCATTTCATTTCTCAATTCTCATATGTGAAATCGGTCTTCTGTAGAAATAATTTAGTTTAGCAATCAAGAACCTAAAATCGGATTGTGATCTTTGTTGTGATTCGATTTTCCCCAAACATGAAATCGGCATCCACTTCTGCAAACAGCGGGTAAGTTCTCGCGTTTTCTCCTGTGAAATCAAAACCAGATCATGGGTCGTTGGAGCAAAATCAGAAAGTGAAATCAGTCGATGCAACCGTGCCCCAAACCCTAACCCCCAAATCAACTTCGAACCCCCGAAGACAGACTTAACTGATTGGTTATCTGGTGGTGCAGGCTCGGGGAGTATATTTGAGACATTGCGGCTTGACAAACCCCTGTTTGTGGTAGTTGATGAGGATTTGATGGGTAATCATCAAAGTGAACTGGCAGAGGGAAAGCATTTGTTTTGTGCTCGTCCTCAAATACTCAGTTAGACAATATCAGAAATTGATACTGAATCTCTTGTAATAATACCAACCGGGTGATGCAACCCTAGTTGCTAAATTCATTAACAGGTTTTTAGGTTTTCCTGATGATTGATGATGAATACCAAGAAATTAGAGACTATTGTTTAAGATAGAAAATACGATTCTGCTAGAAAATTGCAGTGTATATTGTACAGTATATTCAAACAGCTATACTTCCATTGAGGGAAGCAGTTGATTTTACTTGTGAGTTTAATAGATTGTTGATTTGTTTTTGTGGAGAATCTTGTGGATGGATGCTTAATGATATCAATGAATGGTTGGAATTTTTGTAGCTTGTCCATTTGATAGTCCATTTTTTTCCAGATGTGCATCAGGTATTGGAGCTACCAGATATGCATCAGCTAAACCAGCTGGAGGACTACCAGCAGCAAGAAAGCCAACGAGGACCAATGACATAGCAGCTACAGCAGAAGGACTAGAAGAGAATTAGTTGGATTGGTTTTGTACAGTTGTATTGAATCAGTTTTACATTTATTCATGTAAATTTGTTAGGAAGTTAGTTAGAAAATGATTCTATTTTTCTGTATTTATAGAACATTCATTGTACAATTCTTTTACACGGTTGAATACTTGAATGAATATTTTTCTCTGCCTAATCTCAATTGTTCAATATCAGAATTTTGTGATTACAAATCTAACGTTTCAAAAACAATAAAACAAGAGCGAACTTTCCAAAAACAAGTGCAAGTCTACATTGTTCGAACTTGTTAATAAATACATATAGGGTCATGATCAAATAACACATCACAATTACAATGAACTTCTTACACCACAAACAATTACTATCAACATTGTCTTAAGAAATAATAGAGGCAAAAACATTTTATGGAGCTCCTTTCTTCTGTTTCCCTTTCTTTTCCTTATCTCCTTTCTCCAACTGAACAACTGTAGAAGACTTTGAAGGGGCTTCCAGGTTGGTTATCATGTCTGAAGAACATGATTTGTCACCAATAAGCCGGTAGATGGCCTTAACTTCACGAACAGGATTTTTCATATTCATTGAAATACTTGCACAAGTGAAAGGCTGAGACAAATCGAAGAGCCAGGTTATATATATTCACAAACTTAGAAATTTACATTAACAGGAACGAGTGTATCTCTTGTTGTATTCATGTTCAAAAATTTAACATTAACATTACTATCAAAAGAAATTTACATATGCCAGTACTCAAATTTACCATTAACATTAACAGAGATATATATCAAAAGAGAAACATGTCAGTGCTCAAAAATTACTATCACTGTCTTTACATTGCAATGCACTACAGATTACTATCAATGTCTTTACACCGAACGGATGTAGCTTTTGTCGTCTTCACAACTCTTCTTTTTCTTGCCCTTGCCACTCTTAGCTTCAACTATTCAGCCTCATCCATTTGTTGTAATTCGTCAACCATTTCTTCAAAATTAACTTCCACGATATCTGATGAACACTGCAACAACTCCTTCTCCAACGGATATTCCAAGTCATACACTTCCATACCTAGCATAATATTTAGCTGACACCATTGAGTGATCACACTAGCAGTGCCCGGTTGCGGAGGGAGCCCAAATGCATATCAGGCTTCTTACCATAATCAAATCCAAACTCACATCCCACAGCACAGGTCTTCCACTCCTAAAAAACATGTTAGAGGAATCAAAAAGTGTCACCACAGATTTCAGAAAGGAATGTGTCATTGTCATTAGTGAGTTTGTTTCTTTGTCCCCATCAGTGGACTTTTAATAATAATAAATTCACTACAACCCTTCTCTGCAAGTACATATGTAATGTAAAATGAAAACGATAAAGATGCATAAATTGAAGAGTGATTGTCACATATCCACGACAATTAATCAACAATACAAGCTTTCGAGTCCACATTATTATGCACCATCTCCAGAATTTCCAAAAAAGTTCAAGAATTTTAATTAAACAAACCATAAATATTACTGCAGAATACGAAATTTGGTAGTCTCATCGCCTCCATTGACAAAATGGGCTCTTTCTTACACCAAGCCTCACACCTGTCTTCGGGCCCAGAGCCTGGATAGTTAAGCACGCCCATATCGAGCCAGCATAAAAATGCGATCTCCCCTATGAATTTGCCTTTCTTCGCCAGGTTCGCCTTAGGGTTTGTGGGTTTCAATTTGGGGCAGAAATGATTTTGCCTTAGTGAAGGAAAGTAGCGTTTCAATTTGTAATACAGGTGAAGGCGTGTTTGGATTCAGCTGATGTGGCGTTGACGTGGCAATTAACTTAATATTTAACGGGCCATGTCAGACTTCCGTCATCCACATAGGCAGGTTAACTAACGAATTCCATCCGGTGGCCAATGGAGTTGGACGGAGTAAAGTTGAGTGGCCATTGGGAAAGGTTGTAAAGTACAGTGAGTAATCCGTGACATATATCAAAGTTCGATGGCCATTCAAACATTTAACTCGATATTTTAGCCTCCCTTCGCCCATTTTAAAACTCTTTTTTTCGTATCACTAATATGATTTTCACATTTTTTATTAATTTTAAAATCACAATTTTTTGTATTTTAAATCTTATTTAAATATATAGACATATATAAAATTAAATAAAAATATATAGTTCTAAATTCATGCGCTAATATTTATTATCATAAATTTTTTTTGAACCTTTTTATATTCTTTTAGAATTTACGTTTAACTAAAATCATAAAATATCATCTTCAACTGAAATCAAAACAACAATAAAAATATTACCATTAGAGGAAAATCAACCCATTATTTTAGTTATAATTCTTTCGCGATATGGAAAATGGAATCTTATTTTTTATGCTTTGTTTTAAGTATTGGTTTGACGGATGAAAATATATGAGAAATTTCAAATAAGTTTCAATACCTATCCAAATATTATTATATTACAAAAAGAAACAAACTTAAAATTACCAACCAAAACACAAATAACCAAAATTATTAGCTTCTAAGCAAAAAAATAATTAATTAACATATGATTCGAGGGGGGATTTGTTTGGTTGCATTAGCAGTGTATTCTTGAGAACATTCAATAAATTATAGAAATGAGATACGCTAACCTTTGCAACTAAATATTGAAGCACAAATATGGCAATATAGAAAAGGAAAAATAAGAACCATATTATGTTGATAGTGATTGGATTAATATAGTGATTTTTAAATTTTTTGGAATTATATTAGGATGTATTTAGAGTGTGATGAATGTATAAAATTTAGGTGGATTTATGGTGTTTAAATGAATGAATTTAATAAGGATAATATTGAAATTTGACGTTAATAAAAATTGTAATTTTTTAAAATTGTAATATTTTCATATGAATGGATATAGAGCGCCATGAATATATAAAAACTATGGAATGTAAATAGTAGCACCATTTTATAATTTTGTTCAAAATCTAGCTTATGTTTGATTCCCATTTTTTTCAAATAATCTTGTTATATGTACATCAAGTTTAACATCAAATTTGACATTATTATGATGTGGTAATATTTTATACTTTGACTTTAAAACGCTTTAAACAATCGATGACACGAATTTTGACACATCACACAATATCAACCTTAATGTACACTTTGAATATACAATTAGTATAATTATTTTTTCAAAAAACAATAATGCTAAGTGTACATTGTCTGGTTGACATCATCGTTTACATTCCATTGGAGTTCAAAAAATTGTTGGCGGGAAATTGTCTTTAAAAAAAAAAAAAAATGTGTACTGATGTGTTCTCATGTGACACAATATATATAAAAGAATTTTACACGTAAATAAAAAAAAATCATTTTTTTAACGGCACATTCTAAAAAAAACATTATTCTAAAATTCATTTTCTCGCTATAATGGGGCTCAAATATGGGCCTAATTTTAGCCCCGTTTGACTCTATTTGAAATTATAATTTTTAGAATAATATTTTTTTTAATAATGCGTGGTTAAAAAAATTGAGTTTACATGTAATATTATTTTATTGAAAAATATGTAGTTGATAAGAAGGGAATGAAAAATGGATTATAATTTTAATGGGGGCAAACGGGAGCTTAATTTAAATCAAATGGGAGCTAATTTTTCTTTTCAAACATCTTTAAGCAATTGTTTGATCCTCATTATTTCAAAAATATATTTTCCTCTTATTTTCATTCACACATTCTTTAATAAAATATTATTACTAGCAAATCCAAAACTTTTTCTTTATTTTTTAACCATATATTCTCCCAAATATCATTATTCTAAAACACACTTTTTTTCAAAATCTCATTTTAATAGAGCCCAATCGTGCGTAATTAAATTCAAAATAAGTAACTCACACTCCATATTTCATAAGATATGTTAATCTACATCTTTAGTTCTTTTTCGTCGCATTCTAATCGCGAGGCGAGTATAAACAATTCACACCTACGTTCTTCTACTTCTTCAGATCGAAAACCTTTTTGAAGAGGAGATGAACTAGTTAAAAGACTATTATACCTCTTTGAAAACACAATGCTTGAAGCTTGCATTGAGATTTGTCTTCGCTCTTTTCCCAATTCTAATTTAATTGGGGCAAGATAGAAAAAACCAACGGTAAAAATAATGCAATAGTAAAGTTGAAGCAAAATGTGAAGTGACAATTTCATAACAATCTTACAAAAGTAACAATTACAAAGGTTGACGAAATTACTTGGTTTGATGTAAAAGCAGACACCACAAGAATAAATGTTCTTCAGAAAAGAGCACATGGATTTAACATCCATGAGGAGCAAGAAAACACAAGCAAACTTCTCTTTATTACTCGCTCTACTCGATAGAAAAACTACATGAAGCAGATCCGCAAGGAAAGAAGGTTCAGAAATAGTTTCCGCTATAGAAATTTTTCAGGAAATTGGAGTTGCCCTGATCCTTTATTCCTAGGTCTTGCGTAAGGCCTTGCCGACCTACCACATATTGTCCAATAATATGGTGCCTCTGCTTTGCATGCTCCACGATGTTGCTCAACTCTTCCGTCGCCTTGAAGAGCAGCATATCTATAACCTGTAGAATTCACCAACCATAATGAAGACATTGGAGATACTCAGCTTTTTAACTACAAAACTGTATTTTAGAAATATCGCAAAAGTTATTTGATAAGTCATAACTGATATCTTAGTTCTAACCATTACACCTTTGAAATCTCTATTACAAAATGTAACTAGATGTTCAAGTTTGAGCATCTATAGAACAAGAGTTCTGCTTCTTCAACTGACTTTCGTGCTGAAAAGTTTTTGACAGTTTGTAAAAAGATGCTAATGTTCAAATATGTTTGCGCAGAAGCAAGATGTCTTTGATCTTGCTCAAATAAATATTAACCATGCAAGCATCGAATCAAAATACACGCCCAAACTTAAAATACCCAACCAAATTGCCCTTGAAAGCAGCAGACACTTTCAAAAGGTTGGTCGGGTTTGACAACCGCTTTTATGCAAGTCAAACTGCAGGTGTTAAATTACAGTATTACACTTGATAGATCATCAAATTTGGCTGAATGATACCATTTAGGTTTTGGCAATTTGTTGATAGGAATAACACTATTTGTTGCAAAGTGAAAAATGAGGTATGCTCGGTGTAGGCTTCTTTTACATTACACACCCAATAAGTTTTTAAAATTTTCAGATGATGTTATTGGGTTTTATGGATGATTAAAAAATTTTAGCCCCAGTTTGGTGGCCATTTTTTTTGGAAAAATTGTTTTAAATAGTGAGTTTTTGGAGAGTTTGTGGTTAAACAATAGGGAAAAGTTTTGGATTTACTTGTAAAATATTTTATTGTATGAATGTGTGGTTAAAATGGGTATGTAAAAAAAAGTTTTAAAAAAATGGGAGACAAACATGGGCTTAATCTCAAATACTGATGAAGTAAATGGACTGCTACCAACATCATGGTAATTAGGTTATTATTTTATTATTAACCTTTTCATTTCAACATTTTTGCTTCAAAGGTTTTAGTGAAAAGATAGCAAAGAATGAGTTACCAAATTTTTTGTTTTAAATGGCCAGGATCAAATTTCAGGATTATCAAACATATTCATGACTCCCCAGGGGAATAGCAATTTCAATTAACTTTGGTTGGCTCCATCATTACACCGATTCCAACACAGAAATAAAACAGAGAGTAATGCATTTTTACCCGTTAAAAAAAAAAAAAATTAAGGTCATACCAGAATACTTCCTTCAAGGTCAGTCATAAGTTTAAAACATAGTAGAAAAAATTTGTCAGTTTTGAACGAATAGACCGTAGCACAGAATGGACCCCTTAGCAAGATCACTTTACTTCCTGGTGATTCTGAAAATTTGAAACACAGAGCCTGGAAAGTTGGAAACCAATATCCAGAAAACCACTCCATCCAGTTTCAAGTGTTCAGTTCATAGTCCCCAAACGGTCATTTATAGCCCTATACTATAGTGTAATAAGAAAAATTAATCTTACTATCTACCTTCGGTCCGCTAAATAAACTTATGAAATTGCATCGACCAAATAATCCCTTTCAACCTCCAATCCACCATCACATTCCCTAATTCAAGAAATTTTTCCTACACCAAAATACAAAACAAATAAATTGACGGAGATTTCATTAATTCTTATCAAGAATTCCTTTTTAAATCACTCCTTAGCCAAGTCATAGGAAGCAATCAACTAATTATTGATAATCTTTTGACCTTGATGCGCAGAATGATTCCACCAATTCTCAAAACCCCCAACTTTGTAACAGCTTAGACTGAAAATGCTAGCGCTGTACCATGGAGGGATTAAGAAATGAAGTCACTCTACATCAAGAGTTTCTGTAGTTCAAAAATACTTTTTAAGATTTATTGTTCCAACAAATCTGAGTATTGAATATACCATTGGTACTACTACTTTACCTGCGTCTTTTGCTACAGTGCAAATGTGCTTCTTTTGTCATTCACTTTTAGCTCGGTAAGTTCCTAAAGTTCAGTCTTTCCTACTTCAGTTATTCTATTTTAGTAACAAATTAAATACTAGACACAAAATGGTTCTGGCCCTGAAGAAGTTTCTACCATCACACTACCATATTAAAGAAGCTCAGTTCATCCAAATCCTGTTATCCTACCATTTGGGCTTGGAAATCAAAAATTTATTTGAACACCTTCCTTATTAGATTTATCTTGTCTCGACCTAGATATATAAATTCCTATAGCTCACTCTATGTTCTGTATACAGCCTTCATATTGTGTAACAACATAAGAACGCCCACTGCTAGTTTCAGGTTTCCACAACCAAAGATCGACTGAAATCAACTATATTGCACAATATCTAGAAAGAAAAAACTTGCAAGTTAACCTGTATGAATTATTTTCAATCTTATTTATAACGCCTTAATTGAGCATTAAAAACACCGAAAATAAAAAGTAAATTTAATATGCATATTAGACGTAATTAGGAAGGAAAGATGGAGGGGACCTTGGGGTCAGTAACATGAGCGTTCTTGCGGATCTCAGAGGCGACGGTGGAGCGAAGCTCGGAGGGTTTGGCGACGTCATCGAGGATGTAGATGTCCATGATGGTAGGGATGGATCTGCACGCCGTCTTGAAGAACTCGAAAACCCGCTTCCGCGCCTCCTCCAAGTTCGCCGAGTTCGGTGGAACGCGAACATATTTCAGCGTCGATGCCATTTTCCGACTCTCTAATTTCCTGTTACCGATGAAGTATAATTTATGTGTATTGAATGAGGCCTGAGAATTGAAGGTGGGGGTCTAGTGATTCCAATTTACTCCGGTTGAAAAGAACCCTTTTACCCGAAGATTTTTAACAGGAACACGTGTCATCTTTTTATCGAGGATTATTCTCATCATCATACCTAATATATGTACATAATGGTGTGCATAACTTTCACATGAGATGAAACCCACTTACATACATTATGTATCCCTAGCATTGCTCTTTTATTGAACAATTTGAAAACGAAAAAGAACCCTGTTGCACGAAGATTTTGACCAGGGACACGTCTCATATTTTGATCGACCAATTAGAAAACAAAAAAAATAATAATAATAAATAAATAAAGCAGCACCGGTCAACAAATATGATCAAAAGCCGTTGTTCAAGCAGCATTATTCGGTTGAAAAAGTCGGACTGGCCTTGCACTGCTCTCATTTTTGGCGGGCCAAACCAGGTCTGGTTTATCCAAAGAGAAAATTACCTCAAATCCTTCTTTTCAACATTACATTTCAAAAACAATGTGATAAAGTTTACATTTCAAAATTCAGGTGGTAATTATATTTTATAATTATAATTATTAAAAATTTAAAACCTTAAGAGCTGTAATGGTCAGACTAGTTTGGGCATAGAAACAACAAGAGAAAATTACCTAAAATCCTTCTTTTTAAAATTACATATCAAAAATAAGGTGATAATGTTTACATTTCAAAATTCAGGTGGTAATTATATTTTATAATTATAATTATTAAAAATTTAAAACCTTAATTTATCATTTTCTTTCCAACCCTTTCTCTCGTCTCTCTCAGTCATACCCACCCAAGCTCATATCTCCCCCCAATCCCGATCTGCAGCCATATCCCACCCAACCCCAAACCCAAACCTTAATAATCCTCCCCAATCCCAGTGCTACAAACACTGTGCCTCGCCACCACAATCCCGGTGCTGTAATGAAGAAGTCGAGGCGCCATCGCCACCAAGGAAGCAGCACCACAATGCTACTGTAATGGAAGGGGACCGGAGCCTCTTCGAGCGGAGTCGATGGCAGCTACGCTTTGGTGCGATATGGAAGCTGTGGCCGTAGAAGTGACAGCACCCTTACACGATCTATGGTCTGAGCAAGGTGTAGATCTTTTTTTTTTTTGTGGATGGGGACTGTGGTACGGGGGATGGGGGTTGTGGTGCGGTGGAGGTAGAGTTGTCTGGTACGGTGGTGGTGTTTGACGGTGGTTCTGTTTTCGGCATCACGGTGATGGTGCTGATCTATTTTCAGTTGGTGGATGGAGGCTGTGGTGCGGTGGATGGGGACTGTGGTACGATAGAGGTGGAGTTGTGCAATGCGGTTGTGGTGTTTGACGGCAGTGTTGTTTTCGGCATCGTGGCGGTGTTGCTGTGCACGGTGATGGTGCTGTGGGGCGATGGTGGTGTGCTGTGCAATCCGGTGGTTGAGTGAGTGGTGCGATAGTGGTATGGTGCTATGGGCGGTGGTGGTGCAATGGAGGTGGGACGTGCGGTGCTGTGCTGTGCAATCCGGTGGTTGAGTGAGTGGTGCGATGGAGTTTGACGGTGGTGCTGTGGCGTAGGCGTTGGCGATGTCATGGGTGGGATGGGATTTGGTGGGTGTCTGACCAATTATTTGGTTGATTGTGTCCGAATGTAACTGTTTGTGACTGAATGTGACTGTTTGTGACCGATAGTGCCATTTTGTGACTGATTGTGATTGTGATTGTGAATTGTGACTCGTTGTGACCGATTGTGCCATTTTGTGACCGATTTGCGACTTGTGAACTGTGACTCGTGGTGACCAATTGTGACAAAAAAATTGGAAAAATTTGGAAGTTGGCCATCAGAGTGATCGTCGAAGAGTCGCCGGAGCGGCCATTGGAATAGTCGGAACAGTCACTGGAGCGCCGCCGAACCATCGTCGGAGCGGTGCCAGAGATGGAGCCATGGAGGGAAGGTGGTGTAGTGAGGTGATGGGGGTGGGTGAGGTGTCATGGGGTGTAAATAATTAATCTATATTATATTTTATTTTAATATTTAATAAATTTATTTACTACATGATTTTTGAAATATTTTAAAAGGTGTCATGGGGTGTAAATAATTAATATACATTATATTATAATTTAATATTTAATAAATCTATTTACCACCTGATTTTTGAAATAATTATACAAATTTGTTAGTTTTGAAAAGTAATTCTTATATGTAGGTTTTGTGTATTGTTCCCTTATCCAAAAATACGGTTAATTACTTGAATGGTTACTAAAATTTGTCAAGTGTTACCACTTAATAACTGAATTTAAAAATATATTTTAATGGTCACTGAACTTCGTCAAGTGTTATTACTTCTTAATTGAATTTAAACATGTATCTCAATGGTCACTAAACTATACACTGTATTATCCATCCATCACTCAAGTGGAAAAATCCATTAAGTTCAACAAACGACGTCGATTTGAGTAATGAATGGGTAACACAATGCATATTTTAGTGAGCATTGAGATAATTTTTTAAGGCTAGTTATAAAATAATAGCATTGACGAAGTTCAGTGATCATTGAGATACATTTTTAAATTTAATTATTAAAAAATAACACTTAACATAGTTCAGTGACCATTGAGATATATTTTTAAATTCAATTATCCCTCAAATCGATTTTTATGAAAGAAGAAATCAAATAAAAAGAAAGGCAAAAAGAGGAAACGGAAAATCAAAGACCTATAAATCAAATAAAAATAGAACTTTTGCTAATGTTCATTTCGAAATAAATGGATGGCATTAGTCTTTAACCGAAAGTTTTGCTGCCCAAATGAAAGATACACGATGCTAAATTGGTTTTGAATGATTTATTGAGTCATTAAATTCTCGACTAGCATATCCTCTTTATCACCAACTACCCAAAAGTATGTTTGATTTTTGGATCAACTCATATTAATTCACCGTACCTTAAATTTCGCATAAAAGGATTGACAGAGAAACAATAGGAACATTGAAAGAAAATGACAGCGAAAAATTACATAAAAATACAAAAATGTTTGAGTTAGTGCCAAGGTAACCGAGGTTGATTTGATTTTTTTATCTTTTTCCCTTTATTTTCTTCTTTCACAGAGGTCAATTTGGGGGGGGAAAAATTATTACTATTTAATAACTGAAATTAACAATGTATTTCAATGGTCACTGAACTTTGTCAAGTTCTACTATTGCATAACTGAACTTAAAAATATATCTTGATAATCACTAAACTATGCACCATGTTACTTATCCATCACTCGGTCGACGTCGTCTGCTGAACCTAACGAAATTTCTCATTTGAGTGATGGATGAATAACACTGTATATAGTTCAGTAACCATTATGATACATTTTTGAATTCAGTTATAAAGTAGTAACACTTGACGAAGTTCGGTAGCCATTTAGATGCATTTCAATTTCAGTTATTAAGTAGTAACATTTGACAAAATTCAAGGCTTGTTTGAGAGAGATTTTAATCCAATTAAAATTGAAAAGAAAGTCGTTATTAGGTCTCACTCGTCTAATAAAAGTCAACAATAACGACTAGTTTTTCAATTTTAATCCCTCCCAAACAAGCTCTCAGCAACCATTCAAGTAATTAACCCTTCAGAAAACCTATGCTACAGCTAAAATGGCAACGAGTGCACCATCAGGTACGTAAATTTTTTGGAAGTAGGGCAGGTTTAGGACAGACGGATTAGAATATTCCTATTTTTCACATCGATTAAGCTCGTAAATACCCAACCTTGGCTTCATCCTATGGACGAGCTCGACTTGTGTCCAAGTCTTATGATTGGCTTGACACTTTGACTCATGGGCCTCACGTGCAGGCTCCTTTTTTTTTATGGGCACTAAGTTAACAAAATAAGTACAGAATGAGCAATATTTTTTAAAAAATTAATAAAACAAGTCCAAAAATAAAAAATGAGCCAACCACGACCCGACTCGTGAAAAAAATGTGAATTCGACTCGACTCATGACACATCTCAAAATGAGCTCGAGTTACCAATCAACCAAACCGAGCCGGCAAGTCGACGAAACGACTCGTTGGCCTCTTTTTTTTTTTTTGTAAGAAAACATATGACATGTGCCCCCACTCATTCGGAGCATGGAACCCCCACTCCAAATGGGGGAGGCAACACGAGGTGGAACGATATTGATATTGTTAAAGGGTATTTAGGTCTTTTATGTAATACCTAGGGTCTCCTAAGGTTTTCCTAACTCTTATTATAAATAGTGGGACAGGCTAACGTAATTGTTAAGCCTTCTAATTCTTTTACTTTAACAGAGTATCAGAGCAAGGTTATGGGAGATTAATTCCATAAACTTTGTTCAAACAAATTTTTTTTTCCTTCTTTAAAAAAAAAAAAATCCGGTTACTGTTCATCCGCGGTACTGTTCATACCGCGCGCGAGTACTGTTCATCCGGTTACTGTTCACCGTCGACACTGTTCATCCGCGGGTACTGTTCATCCGTTCGTACTGTTCATCCGGCTGGTTTTTGGTCAGTGTTCAATCTGCTAATTTCAGATCTGCTTCTGGTTATTGGTTATTGTTCGTATGACAGTACTACAAATGTTCGTAAGTCTGGTTATGACTCTCACGTTCTTCGTTTAAGCCCTACAGTTGTTTGTATTGTTGGTTTGTTTCCCTTGTGCGAGCTGTTTATTACTTGTTGAATTGGAAGGTATTAATATCGATGACTACACCTCAACCATTAACAACCCGTAAGTTGAACGGAACCAATTATTTAAATTGGTCTAAAGCTGTGAAAATAGCCCTAACTGGACAGGGAAAACATCGTCACCTCACGGAATCCGCCCCGGCAACAGATGATAAAAAGTATGACGACTGGATTCAGGCTGATGCGCAGATTGTAACATTGTTGTGGAATTCGATGGAGCCTCAGGTGGCTGATCTCTGTACTCATCTAGATACGTGCA